AACATCATACATGAAGAGAGCAAAAAGTCATTAAGAAGACAAGAAAGAAGGAAAAGGTCAAAATGGATGTCAGAAGAGACTCTAAAACTTGCTACAAGTATACTCCGTAATATTCCACCATTGAGACCAGAGCCAATGACAGCTGTTCAGCATTACATGCAAAAAGGGAAGCCTATCTCCTGATCATATCCACCATGAGACACCCAGGAAGCTTAATAACACAGCAACAAACATCCATTTAAGCATTAAAAACTCACATAACTACCGGAAATGACCCATAAAACACAACAAAAGATCTGAAAACATGTCCAAAAACAGAAAACAGTAACAGACAAAGGAGATGGAGAAAGACAATCAAATACTCCAAAAAGGGGTGGAGAAAAACAAGGAAGAAGTCAGGAAAGTACTACAAGAGCAATCAAAAAAGACTGATACAGCACTGGAAATAATTCAAAACCTGCAAAAAGAGGTCCAGATGATTATTAATAAAGTATCAGAAATGGACAATACACTGAAAGGGGAAAGGAGCAGAACTGAAGAGATGGAAGCCAGAACCAGCCAGCTGGAAGACAAATTTCTCATTACTGTTAAGATAGAAGAGCAAGCAGAAAGAAGGATAAAAAAATCTGAAGAGAGTCTAACATTCATCTTCAAGTCTGGATAACTTGAAGAGGAACAATTTAAGAATGATTGGCATTCTGGAACAGGAAGAATCAGAGAAGTCCACAGAGGAGATAGTTGAAGAGCAATTGGAAGAAAATTTCCCTAACATCTTGAAGGATGAGAAGATAAACATTCAAGAAGCCAAACGTATTCCAGGAAGGATCGATTCAAAAGAAAATCACCAAGGCATATAATAATCAAGCTCTCCAAAATCAAAGACAAGGAGAGAATTCTACAAGAGGCCAAGAAACAGAAAAGTGTTACTTACAAAGGCAAGCAAATCTGATTAAACTCTGACTTCTCAGCAGAAACCATGCAGGCAAGAAGGCAATGGGTTGACATATAAAAAACCCTAAAAGAAAAAAACTGCCAACCAAGAATCGTCTATCCAACAAAACTGTCAATCAAATATGATGGTGCAATCATAACATTCCAGGATAAACAGAAGCTAAGAGATTTTGTCAAAGCCAATCCAGCACTTCAACACATCCTAAACAGAGTTCTTTGGACTGAAAACCAAAAAGAACAGACAACAACCAGAGACTGACAGGCGTGGCAACACCACCTGAAACTCAGACAACCGATAGCAGAGTCCAGAACAGAACAAAACTACAACAACAAATTCAAAGGAGCTGGGAGGTCAACCGAAAATCAAAATAATATCAATGTCAAAGAAGGGAAAAATGTAGGAACAGAGATCCAGGTGGTGAGGAGGTTAGGTGGATTACAAGATACAATAGATTGTCTTCAATGGAGAGAAAAATTAATAGACTATAAGGTAACCCCAAAGAAAGTTAATATTTCACAACTTACCATGAAAATGAACTTCCAAGCAGAACAAGTAAACATGAAAACTAAGGAAAAACCGACAAGAAATAGCACAAAAAACACAAACTCAGCACAAGAAGGCATGCTGAACAAAAGAATGCACTACCAAAAATTAACATAATGGCAGCAATTAATTCATACCTATCAATAATTACATTGAAAGTCAATGGGATTGAATGCACCAGTGAAGAGACATAGAGTGGAAGAATGGATAAGAAAACAAGACCCTTCAATATGCTGCCTGCAAGAGACATACCTTACAAACAAAGACAAAAACAGACTAAAAGTTAAAGGATGGAAAAAAATATACCAAGCTAACTGCAACACATTTATATAGTCTCTATATATATAGTCTAGGAGCTCTGGTAGCGTAGTGGTTACGAATTGGGCTGTGAACCGCAAGGTCAGCAGTTCGAAACTACCAGCGGTTCCGCGGGAGAAAGATGAGGTGTTCTGCTCCCGTAAAGATTTACAGCCTCGGAAACCCTGTGCAGGGTCGCTATGAGTTGGAACTGACTCTATGGCACTTAACAACAACAACAACAACTGCAACAATAAACAAGCAGGAGTGGCAATACCAATCTCTGATAAAGTAAACTTTAAGACAAAAACCAGCATAAGAGATAAAGGACAGTATCTCATGATCAAAGGGTCAACTGAGCAAGACGACATAACCACAATAAATATCTACGCTCCCAATGAAAAAAGCAGCAAGATATATGAAGCAAACCTTCCTAGAATTAAAGAAAGAAATAGATAAGTCTACAATTATAGTGGGAGATTTAAATACACCACTTTCGAAAAAGGACAGAAAAACCAGAAAGAAACTCGACAAAGTTACAGAGGAACTAAACAGCACAATCAACCAACTTGACCTCACAGATGTGTACAGAGCATTCAAACCAACAACAGCACAATATACATTCTTCTCCAGTGCACATGGAACAGTGCTTTGCTTATCCTGGGTCTCTTTCTTTTCCATGTAAAGTTTGTATTGTCTTTTCCATCTCTTTGAAGAATGTCGATGGAATCTCTATTGGGATTGCATTATATGTGTAAATTGCTTTGGGTAGTATTGACATTTTCACGATGTTGAGTCTTCCTATCCAGGAACATGGTATGCTCTTCCACTTTTGTAAGTCTCTTTTGGTTTCTTGTAGTAGTGTTTTGTAATTTTCTTCGTATAGGTCCTTTGTTTCTCTGGTTGGGGGGGGCGGGCCTGTGGGGTGTACCCTTTGGTTATTTGATGTTGCATGGAGGGGACTGTAATCATTGCAATGAAAGGAAATACAATAGGACGACAGATACGAAACGATAGAACTGATATTCTTTCATGTAAACTTCACAATAAAAATTTATTAAAAAAAAACAAAAACGATTATGGAAATACTAGTGAAAGGCATAGGTTTTAAAATGGAAATGTGACCTACCTTTAAATCTGAGTTGGTTGCAAATTTCTGTCCAATTAAAGCTGCATTTCCTCCTACATAGTGCTGTAAGAGAGACAGTTCATGGCTATTAGATAGTATTTTAGCACAACTATGTTACCCAAGTTTACATACCAAGCTTACACCCAAGCTCATATTTTTAGTTTATTGAAATAATTTAGAGACCATTTTATCCCAAAATGATTTGGAGGTGATTTTACAACTAAGGACACACAGATGAAGTTAATGAAATACAGAAACAGATAATGAGTAGTAAGGAAAGGTAAAGAGAACAAACAAGCTAAGCATGAAGATCAGTATACCTTCCTGAACTGTGGATCAAATTTGGCTCTGAGCTTCCAGGCAGCGAGGACAGATAAAAGGAAACATGAAAAATGTGGATCAAGCTTACCTTCTACATTTTAGCTTACTAAAATGCGTATGATTATACTGCTCTTCAGCAGATACTTTAATGAACTAAAACCCAATTGTTAAGTGAAGAGCACTTAAGAATTCACTATTTGATCTCCTGCTTCTTCCTTCCACATCCTATTTGCAGCTCTCTGACTCAGCCTCCCTCTCTTCTCTCTGTGCCTTTAGCGCCATATTTCTTTGATTAGGACATCTTTCCTCTCTCACACACTTGGCAAACTCCTGATCACCTTGATCAACTCCAGAATCATCTCTTCTGCAATGCCTCTGTTTCCCTTCCCCCATGCCATCTCAGCTTTCACAGTGTCCTTTGTCTGTACAGGACTGTAAACCCCTCCCTTATCCACTGCAGACAGCTCCTGTACAAGCTTCTCAGCCTGAGCTTATAGGATCTGCGGGCATAACTAGCTGCTTCAATGCAGGAACCACTTTATTCTTCTTAGAACAAATGCTCCGTAAATGCTTGCTGTTGAATTTTGAGAAAAGAAGAAACACATTGAATCTTTGGGAAATACAAAAGGCATTTCTGGGAGTAAATTCTAGATGGAGCTCTGATGTCGGACAACCTTCATTGCATGTTTACAGCAAATACTCTAGCTAATTTTACAACATCAATCACTAATTCAAGTTCCTTGGATGGACTTGGTTAATATGTGAATGTATAAGACTTTTTAGAGGGTGAACTTGACTCAAGACAAAGTTACAGCACTAAAGTGTGGAGAGAGCCTTGGGTTATTTCCCTTAAGTACTGCATCTCTCAGGTGAGGACTAGCTAGTGGGGAGCTGGAGAGCAGGAAACTCCTGGCTGAGGATACTCCATGCTGCCGATGGATTCATGAGCTTTGGAAACCTGACAAGTAGGAGACAAAGTTGAATCAATATTCTTGTCTGGGTGGAATGCCAGCCCACTTTCTAGCTGTCAGCCCACGCAGAAACAGACTAATTAACAACCAAACAGTTCCAGAAGCTAGGCATCATTTTCACCCCAACGTGTGTGTGTATGGATCAACCTCTGGATTCAAGTGCGGGCAATTATAGCTTACTCTAAGTAAATATAAAACTCTTTATGATCTGTGGGCCAAAATTTGGCCTTTTAACATGCTAGCATGAATCACTGTTTTATCTGGGGAGAAGTACTAGCGGTTAGAGTACCATGATCATAAAGACTTAATCAGCAGACATGCCATCATGGAGATGAGCCTTTTACTACTGAACGTGGCTGTCGGAACTAACTGTAAATGAATTTTTAACGACTTGCTCTTTCTTTAGGAACTTAACTGGGTAATGCCTGTATCCATTTATAATAGTGTTAACATGAGCAGATTAAAAGGAAAAAACAACAACAACAAACAAAATGAAACACAAAAACTTGAAAATCTTAATATCATCATCAAAATAAAAGTGGTCACAAGGTTGGCTTGTGATAGGTACCAATTAAAAATGGCATAAAGAGCTTCTCTGGCTGGAATCACAGACCGAGACTGGGGAGATTGGCCAAAAGAAGGTTGTAGGTGAGTACGAAGAACTGAGAGGAGAAGCTGAAACAAGCAGCTACAGCGCAGTCTCAGTGGTATGCCACTCAGCAGCAGCAGGCAGGCTGGCGAGGCCAGAAGAACTGCATGCAGTTGGGTCTACAGCCTCCGTGCTGCCTCTCACTCCCTGTGGGACCTCGGGCATGCCTGGACCATGCCAGCCTCAGTGCTTTATAAGCACCAGATGGGCTTGGGAACCCCTAGGGTTGGTTCACTCCAGTTTTGAAAATTTCTATCCTATAGATCCGCAGTTCTCAAAATGAGGTCCTCAGACCAACAGCATCAATGTCGCCAGGAAGCTTGTTAGAAAATTAAAAAAAAAAAAATCATCCCATATCTAATAAGCCAGAAATTTTGGGCGTGGGACCTAGCAATCTATGTTTCAACAAGCTCTATGCATCTTTCAGAACCACTGACCTAATTTTAATCCCCCTCCCTTGCCCCTTGGACATATCTGACAAGGTCTAGAGACATTTTTGCTTGTCACAAAGGGGGAAGTGGAGGTTGCTACTAGCATCTAATGGGCAGAGGCCAGGGATGTTGCTAAATACTCTACAAGGCACAGGGCAGCCCTTTCAACCAAGAACTACCCAGCTCAAAGCGTCAATAGTGGCCCTCGTAAGAAACCCTGCTCTGGACCAACAGAGCAAATAAAGGAGCTAGCTCCTTGTTTCTCTTGCAAAGGCTGAACTAGCGCTCTGTGAGTCTGGCCTGGTTCTCCTGCGCAGAAGGGATTCAGTCATAGTACAGTAACGGCAAGTTATCAGCCAAGTTGTCAGGATATAGTTAGGAGCAGATATCCTATCTACCTTAAGTTTGGGTAATATGCAAAAAAGAATACTTTAATATATAAACCAAAATGAAATGTTAGTAAATGTGTTTCAAAAATGTTGGCTGAATTAAACTGATTAGAATTAGCAGAGTTAATGGAAGTTCGGATGTATACAGCTTTACAAAAAGGGGAAAATGTGGCTGAATTGCCTTTCTAATGGTCACACTCTTGGGGCAAACGGGAAGAACAGTTGCTTGGATACTTCTAGGAAGCTTCTGAGGGAACAACATCCTTTTGCATTGTATCTTCAGTCACTACAGGCAATCCCTGGGTACCAACGAGATCCATTAGTAAGTTTCAGCTGAATTGTAGGTTAAGTCGCATCAGGTGCATATGGTTTTTATTTAGCCTAAGAAAAGGTTTGAAGCCTTTTCAAGGATTTAAAAGCTGCACATGAAGCAAGTGAAGGTGTGACTGTGAAGAATTTGTTATAAGTATTGATACTACTGCTGCGTGCTGTCAAGTCGGTTCCCATTCACAGCAACCTTGCATTGGGTTCCTGAGGCTGCCAGTCTTTAAGGGAGCAGAAAGCCTCGTCTTTCTTCCCCAGAGTGGCTGGTGGATTCAAACTGCTGACCTGGAGGTTAGCAGCCCAATGCGTATCCACCCACTACGCTACAGGGATCCTTTTGTTGCAAGCAAGGCTTCATAAAATCATATTAAAGTGAGGGACAGTTTACATAACATTAAAGAACAAGTATGAGTTGCAAGTAAGTCAATGTTCCTAACCCAAGGACAGGCTGTACATGAACCCAACAGACCTGGGCTTTTGGGAACTCTGATGCAATCTGGGCAATGTCGTGAAAAACTTCCTTATCACTGAAGAAGCGCTCAGCAGCTGCTCCTTTCTCCATGAAGTGAATGAAGGCTTCCTTGAGATCATTCCTTGAGTGCAGGATGGCATGATCCTTCCCATTCCCAGGACTCAGGCCCAGTGCCTGCAAGAGCTTCACTCCTGAGAGTACCACATCCACACAGGCGTTGACTCTGGGGAAAAGGAGCAGAGGCAGCGTGAGAGAACAGTACAACACTGCATCCAGCAACAAGAAGATGTTTCCCACGATGGTGTCTGAATAGAATAAAAGAGATGGATCTGAAACCTGAACTGGAAAGTAAGGAGCATATGGCAAAGGAAGATTACTTTATCTGGACGCCTACCTTGAGAGCAGAACACATCTTTTCAATGGCTTGTCAAACTTTTACACCAGTTACAAAGAGGAAGACAGGTGCTCAGCATTTCAGAACAGACCTGTTGAGGACAGCACAAATGCTGCTGTTCAGAGCAAGTACTGGCGGAGCCACAATGTCTGGAGTCACACTGGCTCTTACGGTGTCTGAGTTTTCTCATCTATAAAATGGGTGATAGTATGAGTGGAGATGTTATTGTGAAGATACATGCTTAGAACAGTGCTGGGTACAGAGTAAAAAAAGGATAAATTTTGGCCCAAAGCCAAATACCAGACGCTGTTCTTCCCATCAGCAAATGGGATGGTGGTAAGGTACATAAAATGCCTAAATACTACCAGTGAATACCCTGCAGAGAGTTGAGTGGTGTCTTAGATGGATGCACACGTGTGTAACAATTCCTCACTTGGCAGGTGTTCACTGTACTGACACATGAACTTAAAGGCTGCTTAGAGGCCAATGTTGCTACATGACGTGGCTCTTTGGAGCCCAGATAGCGTACTGGGCTGCTACCCACAAGAGCTAGCCATTTGAATCTACCAGCCACTCTACCAAGAGAAAGATGACGCTTTCTTGTTCCTGTAAATATTTACAGCCTTGGCAACCGTGCACAGGGTCACTAAGAGTTGGAAACAACTTGATGGCACGCAACCACAACCAAGGAAGTTATAAAGTACTAAGGGTATCTGGCACAGTGCCCCCTCCCCATGTGTATAAAGACGATCTGGCTTCGATTTTCAGCATTTCTTTGCTGAAAAAGTTGAAGGCCAAATAATTAGCTAGATGCCCCCTGCCTCAGTCACCTTTATACATGTCTATATTGGAGGATGCGTGGTGGTAGTGAGGCACAAAGCAGGCAAGTCAAGGCTACCTCCCGGAGGTAAGGAAAGCTGTGCTAACCCCTACTTGTCAGCAGCTTTGAAACCAGCAATAAAGTTCATCCATAAAGAAGGCCTGATAGATTTTAGAGTAAAATATATGGTGTTTCCCTTTTCTTCCAATTCAAAACCACGGATGGCAGCAAGCTGAGAAGAGAAATGAGGCTGGGGGGGAGGGAGACATTTTTACTTAGATGGTTGGTTTTGTATTTTAAAAATAAGCATGAGCTGTTTTATGACTTTTACAACATAATCATTATTTTCTTAAAAGGTTGGTAGGTAGGCTAGATTTTATTTCCATCATTTAAGGAAAGTTTACAAGGTGAGTAAGAGACACATCCTCTTCATGATACACACTGAATTCATTGTCGACATCGTTGCTGTTGTTAAATATTGTCTAGGAAAATTAGAAGTTGTCAAAAATGAAATGGAATGCATAAACATCAATATACTAGGCATTAGTGAGGAGAAATGGACTGGTATTAGCCATTTTGAATCAGACAATCACTTGGTTTTCTATGCCAGGATATGACAATTGAAGGAATGTTGTAACACTCATGAAAAAGAACATTTCAAGATCTATCTTGAAGTACAGCACTGTCTGTGATAGGATAATACCCATATGCCTATTATGTAAGACCAGTTCATACAACTATTATTCAAATGTATGCACCATCCACTAAAAGCAGTGATGATGAAATTGAAGAATTAGCTGTACAATCAGCACTGATGCCTAATCATAAAGTCGGAAGTTCAAACCCCACAAGCTGCTCTTCAGAAACCTTATAAAGGGTCGCTATGAGTTGCTGATGGGGCACAACTCAAAATAAAGCAAAACAGCTGTAAACATCCATTAATAATTAGAACATAGAATGTACAAAGTATGAATCTAGGAAAATTGGAAATTGTCAAAATGAAATGGAATGCATAAACATCAACATCTTAGGCATTAGTGAGCGAAAACACTGGTATTGGCCATTTTGAATCTGACGACCACATGGTTTACTATGCCGGGAACGTAAACTGAAGAGGAATGGTGTTGCATTCCATTGTCAAAAAGAACATATCCAGATCAGTCATGAGGTACAATGCTGTCTGTGATACGATAATATCCATGCGCCGTACAGGGTCGCTATGAGTCGGAACCGACTCCA